GTCCTGCCTTACTAACACAACTGCCACCCAACCTCCCTCGTTAACATCATAGAGGCAGGATTTACAACATACAGGAAAATCACACAGTACAAGGAATCACGGCCCAGACAAACTGATATACACATTTTTGGGGGGACATAATTCAAACCATGACACTACCCATATAGGAAAAGCTGTTCCTTGGCTCAAAACTTAGGAGTAAATCAACTGAGGTAGGTTGAGTACAGGAAGCTTAACATTAAATACAGATAATTATATCGAGTTTTAGGAATGGATCTAATTCCTAAGCCAAATAAATTTGGAAATCCAACTATTAATTGTTCTATTTTATGTCAGGCTAGCATGTCCCCTCCAAAGTATAATACAGGTGCAGAAAACTGAAATGGTGGGCCGAATGGACCACCTTCACCTACTAGTGTGTCCTGAATAGGCTTTTGTAGTTCTGTAAGCCTCGGTTTGCTTGATGGGAAAAATGCCTACCTTACTGGATGGCTGCATGTATTAGTGAAGCTATACAGACACAACCTAGCAAAAACACCTGATACATAAGAGATGCTCAATAAATAACAGTTATTATGACAGTAAGGTATGTAATTTGCTATAAATATTTACTAATTGTTTAAAAAAATAAACATTTTAGATAGTTACAAAAAGGAAAATACAAAGGCTAATCTCACTGAAGATAACCACTGTCACCATTTTGCTAATACCAGAAGTTTTTTTCTTGACAATATTTTTTCATTTATATACACATGTATATATAAGTATATATTATATATTTATATATATATACACACACACATAGGTGGAGGTATATGTGTGTGTGTATAAACTTGGACTAGATATTTAATTTTGTTACCTGTTTCTCACTAAATGTCAGTAAATAGTTTATATAAACATCTTTTTTTTGTTTTTTATATTGTAGTTTAAGTGAAAGTTTACAATTCAAGTTAGTCTCTCATACAAAAATTTATACGTACATTGTTATATGACCCTAATTGCTCTCCCTGTACTGTGACAGCACACTCCTCCTTTCCACTCGATTTTCTGTGTCCATTCAACCAGCTCCTAACCCTCTCTGCCTTCTCATCTCATCTACAGACAGAAGCTGCCAATTTAGTCTCATGTATCTACCTAAGCTAAGAAGCACACTCTTCACGAGTATCATTTTATGTCCCATAGTCCAGTCCAATGTTTGTATGAAGAGTTGGCCTTGGGAATTGTTTTAGTTCTGGGTTGACAGAGAGTCTGGGGTCCATGCTTTCTGGGGTTCCTCCAGTCTGAATCAGACCATTAAGTAAGCTGTTTCATGGATTCATCGTTGTTCTTTATCGCTGTGTAGTATTCCATTGTGTGAAT